CTTACATGACAGTCTGGTGGGGGAAACAGACAAAAATAAATAAGCAAGGAGGCAACTGGGGAAGTGGCCAGAGCACCGTGTGTGCTTCGAAGGAATCTGGACTTGACTCTGATGGCACTGCAGGGTCTCAGGCAGACGTGTGAGGGGATGTGAGCTGCATGTTTAAAAAGTCAATCTCATGACAGTGCCAAGAGAGGGAGGGGCAAGGATGGAGGAGGCAAGCAGACAGCAAGGACATTCTTGTGTTATCTCAGGGGCTACTGCCACATAAAACCCTATTGACAGGGTTCAGCTCTTGAGAGAGGAAAGGTAAGACGTGGCCAACGAACCAAGAAGTAGCCATCTAGAGGGGTGCAGGGGTAGGCTATAGCTCCAGTTATTTATACACAGTTCTATGTCATTACACTCTGAACACTTTCTGTACACTCTGGCATATAGAAGAAAGGGAGGCAGCTTGGGGATGAGTGGTTAAAGACAACTTAAAAATTAATCTATCTATGTGGACTGACATAAATGGAAAAGACTCAAAATTAGCTAAACCAAAGTGAAGAAGCCCTGCTTTGATGATCCTGAAAGGTAGATAACAAACTAATCCCTGGTATTTAGTGTTGGAATGTGATTTTCCTTTTTTTCCTGGAGTATATCTACCATCAATGCAATGTTTGTCATTTTTCCAATGTAAAAATATTCTCTGCACTCACTCCAAACTGGCTGGACAGCAGGAAGCAGGAAAGGAAAAGCAGACAGAACCCATGAGCCAGTCCATGAGCATGGGATGTGGGGACCTGGGAAAAAGCGCAGAAAGCCGACTGCCTGGGACAGCCCTACGGCAGTGCCTTCTTGGTCCCCCAGGGTGTAGGCATCAATGGCACCATCAGAAAGGTCCAGAAAGACTCCAGCTGCCTGAGGGGAAGAACTGCATGTTAGTGACACTGGGATCCCCTCTCTTTTTTCTTTTCCAGTTTATTGAGAAATAATTGACATACATCACTGTATATGTTGAAGGCATACAGCAGGATGGTTTGATTTACATACATTGTGAAACGGCTGCCGCAGGAGGTTCAGCTAACATCCGTCCTCCCACCTGGACCACTGCAAGGGCCTCCTGAAAAACCTACCCCTTTCATTTCTGCCCTCCTCGACTTTGTCATTTTACCACACAGTGGCCAAAATAATGTTTTTAAAATGCAGACCTGATCATGCCATTCCACTATGTTAAACCCCTTAATGACGTCCCAATATTAGGAGGAAACATGTTTTAATCCTTTCACTGGCCTAGGGACCTAATGTGCAGAGATAACTGCCTCTCTGCAGTCTCATCTCTTGCCATTCTTTTTGTGGTTCTCTACAGCCCAGCCTCCTCTTATTCCTTCAAATGGCAAACTCTTTTCCCCCTCGGGGCCTTCTGACTCACAGTCCCTCCATGTTTCCCACAGCCCTACGCTCATCTCCAGCTCTTTCAGTTCTCAGCTGCCGACCCTTTCCCTGCCCAGTATAGATCAGATGTCACATTATTTTAGAATACCCTGTACTTTTCCTCATATCATTTACCACAGATGGAGTGACATCATTATTTTGTGATTATCGTCTTTTCCACTGTTCTGTAAGCTCCTCCAGAGCAGGGACCACGTCCCCATCTGCTTATTGCTGAGTTTTCAGAGCTGGCACAGGACCTGGCATGAACCCTGGACCCTCTAGGGGATGAGCCTCTGGACTGGGTCCACCGGCAAGTGGGCAGAGGGAAGTGGGCCTACGGCACGGGCACCCCTTCAGCCCCTTTCTGCACAGGCCTCCCTGTCTTGCTTCCTTACTGCTGCTTCTATTTGTCTTTTCATCACTCTTAATCATCATCGTGTAAACATATTACCTTAAAATAGTTGGAAATAAGCCACATTAGGAAAATGTGCTCAGAGAATGCAGCTTGTCTCCCTGTCCACAGCTGTCCCTTGTGCCCCATCAGCCACTTCCTGTGCTCTACCCAGTGCGCTTATTATTTATTGTATGAATGAGGCAGAGTCCTGCATCCCCTCCACCCCTTACCCTCTCTCCAGTGTCCCTCTCCTCAGTGCCCCAAAGCGTCCATGTCACCACCTGCTCCCTGGGGGCCATCTCTCCTTCTCGAGGTTTATCTTCCTACTTCCTTTGAACCTATCTCCCCACTTTCCAATGTGTTGTCTCCGCCCCTCTCCCTTTAGCTTTCAAACATCTTTCCAACCTGAGGCAGGGGGCAGGGTAGGTGAGGGCGGGACCTCCCTTGATCCTCCGACTCCTTTATTATTCCTTATATTCTGCTTCCCCCCAAGACGAAGTTCTTGAGAGAACTGTCTCCATTTGCTGCATTCACTTCCTCTCCAGCCACCCACTGTTATTATTCTAATTCACTCATTTTTGAATAGTTGATACATGTTCACAATACAGAATCCAAAACACTCCAAAAGGTACACAGTGAAGCATCCCCCTTACATCGGTGTCCCCAAGCCCCTCAGCTCTCCTCAGAGGCAACCACTGCTACACCATCTTGTGTATCTTTCCAGAGAGCATATGCATACATATATTCTTGTTTGTATTTTTTTACACAAATGGACACATTTATACACTTTTCTACCCTTGGGTTTTGTTTTTTTTTTTTTTCACTTAAAACATCTTAGAGGGCTCTACATGAATATATCCAAAGCTGCTTCATTCTTTTAAATGGCTGCCAAGAACCCTCTGTGAGGGTGCACCATAAATCCTCGCTGTGGACACTGAAGATGTTTCTAGTTCTTTTTTCTAATAATCATGCTGTAATGAGTATCCTTGCACATATAGGATTTTTCCACCCCTGTGAGTGCATCTGTGGGCTAAATACACAGAAATGAAATTGCATTTGCATTTTGGAATTAAACCTCTCTCCATAAAATTTATACCAATTCACCCACCCACGGCAACATATGGGGGGGGCTTGGTTTCCCTTTTTACCCTCCAATAGATTGTTTTAACAGGTGTTTTTTTTTTTTACAAGCCTAATAGGTGAAAAAGAATACTTTTAATTTGCATTTTTATACATAGGGACAAGCATTTTTCATATGTTTAGGGGTCATGTGAATTTCTCCTGTGGATTGTCCCTATCCTTTGCTCATTTTTCCGTTACTATTGTTGATCTTTTAAGGATTCCTAAGAACACTCTGTATAAGAAAACTAGCTCCTTGACTATGATATAACTTGCAAATATTTTAGTCACTCTATATCTTTGCAATATGTCTTCTGTGCCCAATAAAGCAAATGAAACTGCTGTCTTGGTTCCTCCTAATCATGAAATCCAACAGCCTTTCTTGCTTCCATTTTTTCCAGCACTTAACACGGCTGATCCGTCCTTCCTGTACTCTCCTTTTTTCTTCCATCACGACTTTCTCTTGGATCATCTGACAACTCCTCTGACTGTGACTTCGTTTACTCCTTCTGAAGTTCCTCTGACAAGTGCCCTTGGGAAAGGAAGTCCTTGAACTCTGCCTGCCCCGGCAGTGTGCTGGGGCCCTCCCTTTCTGGAGTTGTCATGGGAGTTCCCAGCGCCTTACCTGTAGTGGGAGGTGCAGACTAGCGGTTCCTTGTCTGAATTCAGCGCGGGCTCAGGACGCCCTGCCCCCTTCTTTTCCAACCCCTCCATCAAGCTGCTCATTTCTCGTCAGTCTGACCACATCCACTCTCTTAAAACTGCTTCTCTCCACTTCCCCATCTCCACTCTGCTCCTGGCACTCCCCTAGAGCTTGAGCGGGAGCAGGATTTGCCACCCCAAAATATGTCTTTTGGGATGTTGATTATTTTAAGCTGGTTATTTTCAAGAAACAAAAAACCCAGGAAAAACCTTTGATCTTCCCCCGGAAGTCTAAAACAATTTAGAGGACCTGCCCCAGTAAGGGCAGTATCACCATAAATAACTATAGTTTCATATGAACTAGTGTGATAGACAGGGAGGAACCTCACAAGGCGCTTTTGATTAAGTGCTTTCTGTGTCTCATTGTTAAAGATGGCACAGCAAACATGTGTTTACCAAATATTTAATTTTCTATCTTCATGTGAACTGCCTCCCTGCCCTTTGAAGTCACAAACCACAACATCATCCCCACCCACCTCTTTAGCTCAAGATGGCATGTTAGCCTCACCTGCCCCATCTGTCTTCAGGTCTCATATGCTTATGGAAACTCCATATATAGGTACATTAAAAATGTGGTTATTTTCTCCTGTGAATCAGCCTCGTGTTAATTTGATTATTAGTCCAGCCAGAACAACTTAAAAATGTATATGTATATATGTATATGTTCTACGTATTCTTTTGGACGTATCACCGTTGGGGTGGAGGGTGCTGCCGTTTTTGGTTGGTTGGTTAACTTGGTCAGCCAACCAGAACGCACTCTTATTCTGGTCTCTCCAACACCTTCCTTCCAGCCCCTTCTGCTTGGCTCTCACTTTGCTGCAGCTGTACCTTCCTCCTAAACCTCCTAGAAAAACTGGTGACAAGGGGCCATCTCTAAGATGCTCTAGTCCCAGGGGCCATCCACAGTTCCAGGCTGGTGTAAGCCTGACAAACTTTGGCCACTGTCCCTGTCCACCCTGCTCTCCTCTCTGTCCTGTTCCACCAGTTCCCCAAGAAAGAAACTGTCGGAAATGGGCCTCCAGCCGGGGGAGACAGTAGAGTCCTCTGACATTTTAAGAGATCCTTGGATGGTAGAAAGAGTCCTGGCAATTTAGCATTTCTTGGGGTCAGCATCCTGGTCTACCCACCCACCTCACTCCGACCCCCACCCCCACACGTGACACAGTCAGGTTTACCAGGATGTTTTTTTTCCGCGGGGGTGGGAGAGGGGTGGGAAGAAGGGGTGGTCAGTAGGCAAGAAAGAGAGAAGGTGTGTCCTGAGAGTAGGACGAGCTCACACCGCTGCTCCGGGCTGGAGAGGAAAGGGAGGAGGGAGGTGAGGCTCGGGAAGGGGTGGGGACCGCTGGGTTGGCCCGGGCGGAGCAGGGCTTCGTGTGTAAGGGCTTGTGAGGAGCTGAAAAGCCTTGCACGTCGGGGCAGCAAGACAGAACCTAGGGCGTGCGCGGAGCCTCCCAGTGTCTTGCTCCTTTGGCCGCAGCCATGACAGAGACCTCTGACAAAGTTCCTATCGCCCTGGTAGGGCCTGACGACGTCGAGCTTCGGAGTTCGCGGGTGAGTACCGCCCGGGATCCCCAGTCCAGCTGCCGGGTTAGTCCACACGCAGGGCCCGAGCTTCGAGTAAGGGTCTGGATCCACTGTCGGGCGTCAGGGATTTGTGCCACCGAATGTGGAAGGTGAGAGCAAGTCGGGGCGCCCAAATGTGGAGAGCGACACCCCACGCGTGTTCGTGTGCCAGAGCCACCAGATCCACAGACGGGTGTGAAGGAGATGGTGGAAGGGACTCAGGAGGGGGCGTCCTGTGGCCGGCGGGGAGTGCAGATCAACGGGGCGATGACCCTGCACCGTGAAAAGTACATCCACGCTTCAGTGCCAGGGACCCGCGAGAGGGAGCGCAGCAAAAGGGGGAGCCCAAAGGGACTCAGGGCGAGCCGTTTCCCACCCCTACCCCTAGTCCCTGGGGCGCTGCGCGGGGATCGCGGGGTGCGGGCGGCGCAGACGTGACCCGTCCCCGCCGGTCCCCGCCCGCAGGCGTACGCCACAGTGACCGTTAAGCCCTCCAGCCCCGCACGGCTGCTCAAGGTCGGAGCTGTGGTCCTCATTTCGGGGGCGATGCTGCTGCTCTTCGGAGCCATCGGGGCCTTCTACTTCTGGAAGGGAAGTGACAATCAGGTAAGTCCAGAGAGGGTGCGCAGGGCGGGGAGGTGCGCAGGACCCAGGGGCGCACCTGGTGCGTGGGGTCCTCCCTGTCACCCGCATGTTGCCCGCTAGGCGGAGCCAAAGAGCTAGACCGTTCTGGGCTGTGGGCAAGCCCTCCACCCCCAGCATCTGCTTCCTCTAGGCGCCTCCCCGGGCACTTTCTGCCTTTTTCCTTCCAACTGCACTGCGCGGCTTTTGGCTCACAGGACACTTTGCAGAAAAGCAAGTCAGGGTTTTAAGAGACAGTATTAAAACGTAGAGGAGCAAAATAGAGGGAAAATGCAGTGGAAGGTTCAAGGAAAGCCCTTTTCAGCAGATCTCAGCCCGGCGCTACCCCTGAGCAGTTGTGTGACCTTGGAAAAAGCAGGTCACCTCTCTGGCCTCAGTTTACTCCTTCTCGGGGAAGAAATGGAACTAAATGAACTATAAGACCTGTCTCAGCTGAGAAAGGCTGTGAATTTAAAAACCTGGGACAAAGTGTAAAAGTATCTAGACCCAGTGTTGGGAAGGAATTTAACCTTCCTGGAGTTTTTGCTTGCTTATTTTTTGCATGTGACCTATTCAGGAATGCTCTTTTTTTTCCTCCCTCTCTAAGGTGGGGTGAGGAGGAGGGGAACGGTGACTTCCTTAAAAGTGGCAAATCTCTTTAAAAATCCATTCTGGCCTAGTCACATGTGATTTAATGGTAAATGTTTCACTAACTGCTGTCCTACTTTCTTTCTTTGCAACTATTTATCGTAAAGCTCTATGGACCTCAAGGAGTATAAAAAGCGCTTCTAACCTGACTGGGCAGGATTCCAGTGTGTTCTCTAAATATTCTGAATTTTGTCCACCTTTGGAAAGGGGGGCACTTTATCTTGATGACCATGGTAGGCCTGGCATAAGCTTATTTGGACTAATGGAAAAGAATTCCATCTCTAGGATACACACAAAGGGCTATTTCTTAATCACTACCCTCAGAGGATCTGTGACTGCTGTTTTCCCCCCTTTCTCCCACCATGAAATTCAAAGCAGGAACGAATGCCAGTACTTAGAGAAAATGGTGCCGAAAGCAATTCAGCCATTTTACACATAACATCTTCTGCAGTCACTGCCTAATTTGTATTTTTAACTCAAATACTTAATGTAGATAAGCATGCCATTTAGTGTTGAATCTGTTTTAGAGACTATATCAAATTTACAAGCACCCATTTGTAAGATCAGAATTGCACAGTATTTTGTGTATATTTGAAAAGTGCCTTAATGTATTTGTATTTTAAATATGGAAGCTGGGCCAGATGCTCATATTTGAAAGCAGTAAATGAACATGGGAACAATTTCAATATCTACATCTCCATTCATAGCAGGCTTTAGATCGTCACCCCTTGGGAAATTGTATGGTAATCGAATGCGAATGCTACCTTTTAGATGACAAAACCTCAGTGCTACAGGTCACTTGGGGATAAAAATAGCTTTGCTCTTTTTTTTGGCAAAGATTTTGGTCATGATATATATTAAAATGAATACTATTTGGCATTTAATAATTCAAGGAAAACACAGCTAACTGACAAGCTTCTAAAAAGAGGGATTGAAAGATCACACTGAATAGCCAGCCTTCTTTTTTCATATCTTTTACTCTCCCGCAAGATGGTTGGTTACCTGGTTCAAGAAAGCAGTATTAAATTCTAAGAATACAGAGGACTAGTGAATCACATTTTATTGTCAACAATCAAAGTTATTGCTATTTCCTATATAGGAAGGAGAATGAAGAACACTCTGATAGTTTTTTTTTTAAACTCCCAAAATATTCAGTGCTGACCCATATTACTTAAGTCTATAAAACAAATCATAAAATACTAAATAGAGCAAATTTGGCACCATCTATGCCCAACACATGCACAGGTCTGCTTTCCCTGAACACAAGCCAAAGTAGCCCAAACAAAACATAATCAAAACAGGTAAGTCTCTGTCAAACAGAAAGGTATCCCCAACCAAATGGACTGCCCACTCTTTGGGGGTTATCCGTTCCTCTGATCCTCCATATGGGCTTACCTAGCTGTGATTCACCTCCCATCCGTTCCATATGGGTAAATCCCCTGAGGACAGGTTTGCTGGAAGTCAGCTGAAGGACTATGAAGCATCCAAGTGCTAATAATTGGGGACAAGTGACTGGGCTCAAATACTGAGGCAGTGCTTCAGCCACATTATTGTACATGGAACAAGGCATTGAAAGATGGGAAATTCTCACCAATGTGAGCTAACTGACAACCCTCACCTGTGGGATGGGGGATGCGATCACTGCCGGGGGCTTTTTTTCTCAGGCTGATTTTTCTAGACATTGTCCTAAATATTATGTAATCAATCTTAGAGAATCCAGGCTTTATTAGAAACTCATTAGCAAATATCCTTGGCTGTAAAAGGCACCATACTGAGCAGAATTTTGGCAAATAATAACTTTGCTGTACTTGGATAGAAATAGCCTTAGGTGCCAGCAGCTCCATCACTTTAGAGGAAATAATGTGATTACTGCTCCATCAGCCCAGCCTCCTTCCGAGCTCCGGGCCCAGCGCTTTGAAAATCATTTCAGTCTGTTTACCACCAGTGCCCCCATCGCTTCAGGAGGGCGCAGACCTCCCGCTGCTGCCACGCAGGACAGGTGCTGCTTGCAGAAGACAGGCTGGAGCTACAGTAGACAGGATGCAAAACCCATGCGTAGTCAGGGAGCTTTTGTGGGAAGGAAGGTGACAACAGGCGGTGGTGAAAGAAAGTGAAATTAGGGCCGTAAGCCGTTCCTCCAGAGTCACAATCTTGTCTGCTTTAGACCTGCTAGAAAGGTGGAAACCATTCATTTCTTAAATTTTGCATTGCTTCACTAGTGAAAGCTTATGCTTTCAAAAATAAAAATAAAAAAAGAGCCTCTTGTAGCCCGAGTGAAGGACACTGAGCCAGCAGGAACTCAGGCAGGTGTTGTCTGCCAAGCTCTTGTTGACGGTGGTAATTAACCCATATGAATAGGAGCTGCTCGGGGAGCTCAGGGACGAAACAGAGTCTGCTCTCTAAACCTCACCTGCGCAAAGCACTGGCTCAGCCAAAGAAAACAGGTTTCCCAAACTGGGCTGATCGTACAGACCACCTGTGTTGCAAAGTGAAACCGTTGGTGGGCTCTGCTCCTGCTCTAAGTCAGAACCCCTAGAAGTGGATCTTAGGCTCAGGCTAGCTTGGGAGACGGTACACTACAGGAATCGAACTTCAGCAGAAGGAGGGGCACCGACACGCAGTCGAGCTGAGCTAGCACGCGGGTCATCTTCTGTTCCACCAAATGAAGGCTGTAGCCCGAAAAGGTACTGGCTAGCAAAGCCATTTCTACATCTCCACTGATGAAATAAAATCATGCCCTATGGGTCTTGTAATAATGAGTTTTCTACAAGTAATGATCCAATAACAACATCCTTATCCAGTGTTTGTCCATGTCTCATTCTTCATAATGAGGGAGAAAATCAGACTTGAATTGAATCTGAGCTATTTGTGGTTCTGACCTATTGTTCTGACACTAAGTAGTAAATGTCTTTCATCACTTCTCATTCTTTCCTCTTTAAAGAATTTATATATTATAGATCATATGAGATATAGTATATATAAGATATATCTCTCTCTAAATCAGAAAAAGTAAGAAGAAAAGAAAAAAAAAACCCATCTATAATATTCCACAACTCAGAAAAAGTTCTAGCAGGGCAGCAGCACACTGAGCAGGAGCAGCGTGTGAATTACTTTTAAACTAGTGCACCGACAAGCTGTCTAAACCAAGAGAGTGCTTCGAACCATCTAATTTAGTGGTAAACTTTTAAAAATATGTATTGAATGGCAGAATTTTTCTCTAGCTTTTACTCAAATCCAATATGTAAAATAGAAGCTGAGCCACTCTCCTTAAATTGGAGGTGGACAGGGGAGAAAGGAGACTCACAGTCCCACCTGCTCGGCCACCCTCACCTCTGGGCCACCTCTGTCTCTAAAAACATAAATGAAAAACCACCTATGAGGTCCAACTTCTTCATTTTACACTCAAGGCCACTCCCAAGACCCAGGGATAAGTGGAATGGCCACCTGTCTTCTGGCTCCTGGACCAGTTCCCTTCTAACAGTGCCAAGCCTCCCTCCTTTTTCACCCTGCACATCTCATAACAAAATGCCCTACAACCCCATGCCTGTCCCACAGTCATTAAAATGAGTAACTCCCATTCTGAGCTGAAACAGATGGGCACATTGACCTTGCTCTCTGCAAATGCTGCTGTATGTCAGGCAATCCCAGCCCTGTCTGCAGCCCTTACTATATACCACATTCCATGCCAAATCTTAACCAAAAGGTTTTTAAAACCTTTCAAATAGAGGTGCCTCTGCAGACTTGTTCAGTTAATGCCCAGTTAGCCCTCTGCCATGTCAATTTCCATATATCCATCAACAGGTCTCAACTCCAGCCACGTGGTAGAATTGCCCTTTTAAAAAGAGAAAGATCTATGCCCAAGCTCCAAACTCGTAGGTTCTAATTTGACTGATAACCCAGTCATAGTAGCTGAAGATTCCACCCAGATGCTTCTATACACAGCCAGGATTGAGAATAACTAGGCTATCTGAGTTAGTATCAGAGACTATCAAAGGTTTTACTTTTATTTTTAAGGTACTTTTAAAGAAATCATTGTACTAAGTGATTGGTATGTGGATGAAGTGCTCATATAACAATATATTAATTACTCTCCAGGGTGATTCGGTGTATCTCTGACAAATATGAAAGTTACCTTATACACTGCACGTCAAAAGATAATCCCTGAATTGCCCCAAGAGGAAAGAGTCACTTCTCTTACGTTCACTTCCAGATTTACAATGTCCATTACACCATGAGTATCAATGGGAAACTACAAGACGGGTCCATGGAAATAGATGCTGGAAACAACGTGGAGACTTTTAAAATGGGAAGTGGAGCTGAAGAAGCAGTTGAAATTAATGATTTCCAGAATGTAAGTATATTTCATGCGTTTAGAGAGTTTACCCAGGCAAGCCTGGAAGACTTCTCTAACTCAAAGAGAGGCCGCATTTCTCACACATATCCAAATGGTAACTGTTTCTACGGCCAAGCACAGTGCCGCCATTCCACGGATGTCACCCAGCAGATTCTCTCTGAGAAAAGGTCACTCTTTGTTTTTAATATTTTTAAATGAGGAAAACAACCCCTTGGCATTGAAAAGAATAGGCTCTTGGAACCATGTAAATTCTTGGCAGAAAGGCACAAAAGAGCTATTTCTTTCCAAGCAGCTTTCTATAACACAGTGAATAAAATACTCAAACTATCCCAGAGTGTTGCAAAGTCTTTTTGTGAACTTACAATCTTTTTGTGAACTTACAGAGAAGAGGGAGATTTTCATACCTAATAATCTCATCAAATACCGTTCAGATCTGGGTATATACTTTTCTTAATTTTTTAGGTTTCTCATTTAACCTAGAAAATTAGCATGGAGAAATCTCCCTATTATATCATGTTTTCTGACTACTGCTTATTATGGATACATTCTAGTCTCCTTTGAAAAAGGCAGATATGTTTGTTTTCAAAAATTCAGTTTACAGGCAATTCGAGACCTTAAGCTAGGCATCCGGGCTTCAGTGTATGTCTGCAAACCAAATGTCACTCCAGGCCTACTCTCCTGTTGGCCAACATAAATATCTTCTTTCTCGTGTTCTAAGATAAGGAAGAGGTATCACTATTTGTGCTCCCCTGTTAAACTTGTAACTGGAGTAGGTGAACCTTCATAATGAAAAAAAAAGTACTTAAAAATAATGTCTTTTCTGAGCATTTATTGGCCCACAAACATCTCATGACCCATCTTCTTTTGATTGATGAGAAAAACTAGAGATGCTTTTCATTCGAATAAAAGAACTTTCCTTATTGATACCTAACACACTTCACAAACCCTTTTGAAAACCAAGCAGATGCTAGCATTAGAGCCATGGGGATGGCGGATACTATTTGATGAGGAGGAGGACTGCCTACGTTCAGTGGTCCCTGCCCGGGGGATGGGCTCTGCAGCCCTGTATGTGCCCAGCTGCATTTGAATTAGTCGTTGCTTCGCAAATGGTTCTGGTCAATGCTCAAGGATGATTCCTCTGGACCTATTAAAAGTTTTTACTGCAAGACGCAAGACAAGGTAAAAGAATTTTTCTTTGCACTGCTCAATATAAAATTATAAAACATGACTCCCACATATATATCACTCGATCCAAAACAAAACTGAATACCTATGATGTGCCAAAATACCAAGATGTGCAAAGGTAGCTACGCAGATGAATAAAAAATATCCATCTATATCAAGAAGAGTATATCTCACGAATATTGGGTATATACTTTTAAAGTATTTTAATCCCAAACCTATATATCTGTTTTATAATCCTTTGGTTCTAATAATGGTATTGATTGTGTTTTGTTCTCCTAGGCCAAAAGGGCCACAAATATTTTATAAACTGATCAATTCTCTTTGATAGTTTCCACATTACTCTGAGTCAGAACTGGTGAGTAGAAATTTTTTTTTTTAATGGATAGAAGCTGCTATGGGTTTAAACAAGCCTGGACTTTGAAAACGCATGAATCTGCCATTATGGTAACTGCATAATTCCCCTATATTTTAAACCAAATTCAAGAAGTGTTTATTGGGGCCTACAGTGTGCGAGGAATGGCGATCAGCATGGGGGATGCAAAGATGAAAGACACGCCTTCTCCCCGCTCAGGGACCTCCCAGGCCAGACCAGGGGGCAGACATCCGCAGGGAAGCGGCTCAGGTCAGCCAGGAAACACAGTGACGGAGTGTGGACAGAGCGCAGTGGCGCACAGAGGGAGGCCGTTGCTGCTGGTCAGGGAGTTGGAGCAGGTTTTACAGAGCAGATGACAGTTGAGTCAGGTCTGGAAGAATGATTAGGATTTCAACTTGCAGAAAAGTAGGGGTGAGGGAGTGCTTTCCCTGGCCCAGGGAAGAACACTGAATACAAATTCACAGGCTTGCTCTGCAGTTCTAAGTAGCCCAATGTGGCTGAAGGTGGGGGAGAGAATGGAGACACAGGTAGGACCAGATTAGAAAAGGTTCCGAATTGCAAGCGAACAGTCTCCCTGCTAACCCACGACCCCACCAAGATTTTAGTAGAACTGATGGTAAAAAGAACCTTCTGAGAGGGAATAGCATTGAACAAAGGGCTCCTGGCTCTACATTGTTAAAGAAAAAGTGATTCAGGACACTTGTTAAAAAAGGTAAGGTTGGTTTTATTCAAGGAGAGCTATTGTAGTGGGGTTTCATAGTAGAGGAGAGAGATTGGGCTCAACTCTGAATACAATAAAGAAAAACAGGGATTTATAGCCAGACTGGGAGTGCTGGTGGATGGAATATTACTAACAGATAGAGTAGTTCTTTGCTAAACTGACCTAAAAGGAGTTTTGCTAAAGTAGGCCAAGGTGATCAGATACTGAGAGTGGTCAGACCAAGGCTGACTCAGCAGGATTCTTGCAAAATTGGAGTAAGTGGGCCAAGACAGAGCCCAGGGTCTGGGCCTGTTTGAAAGGAGGACTCCGAGGAGCCTGACAAGAGTTGGGTCAAGGAGTCTTTGTCAATACCCTGAGGAGTACAAAAACGGGGTTTGTTCATAGTGTGTGTTACATTCTAGAAAGTTATACCCTTGAAAGCAGCAGTGTTGTTGATTTACACCAATCCTCTCAGACCTAATGACCTGTTCATATAACAAAAATCTTGGTTAAAAATCAAGATAGAATAAACTGGTGGGTATATATGGATGTGTACTGTACAACTCTTTTAACTGCGTATATTTGAAATTTTTTATTTAAAAAGCTAGAGGGAAAAAGAAGATAGCATAACCTACCTAGTAGGTAGGTTATTGATTTCAAAAATCAAGATGGCCCCCATAAAGGAAAAATAAACTGAAAGTTATATTTTTGCTCCCGTAGTTGAATCTCTGTCAGCAGCACAGCTAAAAATGCAGGTAGGCCTAAGTGTGTGTTGGCAAATTATATACCAGGTAATTTTTTTTTCAAACAGTGAATAAAAGTGCCATTGTCTCTCAATTTTTGCAGTAATTGCCTTCCTTGGAAAATCATTGTACATTCAAACTATGCCAAAAATCACTTTGTGTTTATGTGTGAAACTGTGTTAGTTTCTAGGCACAGATACTTCCAATCAGACTTGGCTGTCCCACCCAGCAGCCAAGGCAGTTAGTTCTTCAGGACCTTTGCAGGCTTTTTGGGACCAGCATCCTTGGGCCATGTCCACTGAGGGCCAGGAGAGCTGCCAATCTTTGTGACAACAAAAACTCCCTCAAAGATTGCTGTAGTGCCCTCTTGGAGGTAGGACCCTTTACACTTCTTGGGAACTTCTAGTTTAAGCCAGAGAAATAGATGCGATCCCCTAGAAAGAAAAAAATACATGACTAAAATGAGAGTACCTAAATCTTTAAAGAATGTTAGGTCATTGGACTATTCACTCATTATCTTTGTTAGCAAATTTCTTCATTATCACCAGCTTTTAAGGCCTAATTTGTTTGTAAAAACAAAAGGTTTGCCTGACATTCTTGTGGTTTTTTTGTTCCCTTTGTTTAATCTCTTAATATATCTGACTGCTTGATGTGGATTTTTAACTAGGCACGGTGGTTATTATGTGTGAATTCCTTCCTATAGGACCCATCCCTAGGGTGTTTCGGTTCTCTTTGCACCATACAGACAGTCAGAACTAACTCAATACTCGATTCACAATGCAGGCTGTGAATCCTTCAATAGAATCAGCCCTCTCTTTTGGGGATACAGTAATGATTATATGGTGTTTCCTCCCTTGCATCTCACATTCAGAGGACATGAGGATTTGAAGTTAAGAGAACAGATCACATAATGGGGTAGTAATCTCCCATTCCTGCCTTCTGTTTTTCAAACCATGAGCCCTAGATTAACACACAGAATAAGAGCAGGACATAGCACGATAGAGAGCAGTGGTTGTCAGAGTGCATTCTTTAGACCACCCGCAGCAGCATCACCTAACAGCTTGTTAGAAATGCAGGTTAGCCCTATTCCAGACCTACTGAATCAGAATTTCGGGGGGTGGGACCCAACACTCCAAGTTTCATTAAACAAGGCTTCCTGGTGCATTTCATGCAAGAGAAAGTGTGAGCCACTGGTATAGAAGAAACTTGGATCCAAAGATAGTGTCTTAGTTCACTCAAGCTGCTGTAACAAAATTACCATAACTAGGTGACTTCTAAACAGAAATTTGTTTCTCACAGTTCTGGAAGCCAGAAAGTCCAAGAGGAGGCGCTGGCAGAATGGGTGTCTAGTGAGGGCCTGCTTTCTGATTCACAGAGGGCTGTCTTCTCACTGTGTCCTCACATAGCACAAGGGACAAGGGGGCTCTCTGGGATCCCTTTTGTAAGGGCACTGATATCATTTATGAGGCTTCGCCCTTATGACTTAATCACCTCCAAATACTACCACGTATGTTGAAATACATAGGAATTTGGGGTGGGAGAGGGACCTGAGCATTTGGTATATAGCAGGTGGTTTTAGTTATTTAAAAACTTTATTACCCTGAACAAGTTCCTTTCCCCCTAAATTGGTGGTCCTCAAGCTGGCTGTACATTATAAACACATGGGGAGATTTAAGCATACCAGTGTCTCTCCAGACCAATTACATGGGAATCTCTGGGGAGAGGCCCGGGCACCTGTGTTTTTAAATTCTCTCCAGATGACTTTGGTGCAGTGAGCCGGAAACCTCTACAGTTTCCTCTGTAAAGTGGGCGTAATGCCACCACCTCTCTCTGGGTGAGAGGTGGTACTGGGAGAAATAAGTGAAATGTGTTACATGTGCACACATGGCCAATTAGGCCGCACGGCAAATCCATGAGGAGCTTTAGGAAGAATGAGCCTTTCCTTCTCTGTTCTCCTGTCTGTCACCTGCCCACTTTTATAGGGCTCCTGGCTCTGAGATTCCACCTGGTATAACTTCCCATGAATATTCGCACGCATGATTTACACCCAACTTATTTCTTCATTGAAGATGGCTGAATCCTGAACCAGGGCCCCTGGATTTCTAAATGCTTTTCTTTCCCCCTCCTCGGCATTGACATAGGAACAGATTCTCATCTTCCCGACATTTGTCTCAACAGAATATTGAAAAGTTGAGATGCCCAGATTTGTGTTGTTATGTACATTATTATAGCACAAAATCTGTAGACCTTTAACACTGTTTTGGCCACTCACTAGTTGTGAAGCTAACCAGCACGGTGAACATCGATCCTCCAGGGACAGAATGCACTGCTGTGCCTGACAGGCTCCGAGGGCGGAATCAGCGCTGGGCTGTCTCCCGGGGCTGGAGCCTGAGGCTGAGTGTCCCCTTGAGGATGGTCCCCAGGCGTGGGAGAGAGGACGCACGGTTTCCTTCTCACAGGGGACGTAAACCAATCATCTCTGTCCTCCGGTAAGGCCTAGGAGCAGAGTTCAGCTCCTGGTGTTGTAGAAAGCTTTACCATTTACACAGCTTGGTAATTTAGGAAAAATAGGAATTTATGGAATTAATTCACTGGATCAACATCGTTTGAGAATCTTCGTGGGATCACTAAAATGCAAAAGATTCAGACAGTGATCCCAAGAAGCTTAACTGAGGACATTGACAAGGAGCAGCTGGCTGCACATTATAAACATGGGGAGTCCAAGGAGAGATAAAGATGTTGGGAGGCAGGGGCCAACAGACGTCTGAGGCAGAGGAGCCCCCTTAGCCTGGGATGGTCAGAGAGAGCTGCATAGAAGTGAAGGCCTTTCACCTGAGCTTGAGGGAGAGATGGAGCAGTCACATGCTCTGTCTCCGTCCAAATTCTACCCCTGGCAGAGTCCCCCCTGAGCACACTGACAGAAGCACCATCCCCGGGATTCCCGTCTCCCACTCTGCTTTATTTTCTCCGTAGCAGTTAGCACCACCTGACTTTACCTCAATTTTTATATTTTGGTTAATAACACTGAAAGTTGCACTCCAGGACGGCAGATTGCATCTGTTTTGTTCATCCCTATACACAGTACCTGAAACAGTACCTGGCTTGCGGTAGATACACAATACATTGAAGAAATGGACGGGTGGATAAATGGATGGACGAACATTTATTTCATTTCCTAGGGTATCACAGGAATTCGTTTTGCTGGAGGAGAGAAGTGCTACATCAAAGCGCAGATGAAGGCTCGCGTTCCTGAGGTGGGCACCGCGGCCAAGCAGAGCATCTCCTCCGAGCTGGTGGGTACTAGCAGGCTCCAGACAGCAAGAGGGTTTGGCAGACATTGTTTGAAGGCACAACCCTTTCTGTCTCTAGTTCCTGGGAAGGTTTGAGACCAGAGCATAAATTCTAGTTCTTCTCTGCTAAAGGAATGTAAACTATTTTGGTCCTTCTGGCTATTTCTAAATGATTCTTACATTATGTAGCATATTTAAAGGTTTTGGAAAACAAGATATATATAATTTTTACTAAATATAAACATGATTTTTTTAATTTGTTTTTTTTATTGTTCAGATACATTTGTCTCCATTTTCCCGCCACCACTTTCCCCTGTCCCACCCACCTTCACCTCCCACCCTCAACCCTTCCCCACGGTGGCTTTGTCCATGGGTCCTTTGTAAACGTTCCTTGATTTGACCCTTCCCCTTCTTTTCTCCATCACTCCCCTCCCTCTTTCCCTCTTGGTATTGTCTGTTCCTTTTTTCTTTCAATGCTGCTGGTTATATTTTCCTTGCTTGTTTGTTTTGTTGATTAGATTCCACTTACAGATGAGATCATAGGGTATTTTCCTTTATTTTAAAGTGTTTAAAGGGGCTTGGTCTCACATGACCCATGTTTGCCTGAGGACAGGGAACTACCTTATCAGTGATTAGGACAACATAAAGGACTTTGAATCAGAGGGGCCTTGGGAGAGTGCTAGCCTCAGTTCCACTCAGTGTGGGAATTCCTCCTGAAAATCCCACGCAGCCTCTGCGGAGAAGTTGCCACAGGGTGTCTTGCTCCCTTACCTATGTGTCAGGCAACTTCATGGGAGGCAGTTCTAAATGTTTTGCCCTACATTGAGCTGCGATCGCTCCCCCTACAATTTTTTCCCATTGGTCCACGTGCAACCCAATGAAGCTAGCTACTCAGGATGTACCAAATTTCTCTTCTATATGTCAAATTTGTGAAGTTTTTTAAAAAAAATCATAACTCTCCCATTTATTAATAACTTGCCTTTGAGCTTGACTTTATATACATTTATTTTAAGAACTGCACATAAAGTTCTGAAGACACATTTAACAAAATATCTTACACTTATTTGATACTTGGGGGGCTTACAAAATGGTTGTATTCATTATCGTCGTCCATCTGAGTTGTGGCAGTGTCTGGTGGAAAGAAAATGGACTTTGGAGTTAGAAAAATGTAGGTTCAAATTCCAGCTCTGACACTGGCTGTGGATGGGGCTTCAACTCTGTGAGCCTCAGTTTTGTCATCTACAAACTAGGAGTATATGTATTGTCCCTATGGCCCTGGAACCTACTAGATAATGAGTAGATGTCTGCTGCTATAATTATTAATTTTATTATGATCACCTTTGGTCCTTTCAGTCTCCCCAAGAGGGAGGTGAAGCCAGCATCAGCTCCCTCAAGGCAAATGAGAAAAAATAAGGGTAAGCAAAGGTGCCTGGAAACTACCTGATTGTTTGTCCTCAGAGGAGCAGCAGCGGAAGGTATCTCAAAACACAAAACAAAACAAAAGCTAAAAACAAACCAGTGAGTTGTTTTTTTTTTCCCTACTCCCAGTTTCCGCAGCCATTCATCCTGTGAGAAGTTTCCAGACCTTCATGGCTCCGGTCATTCTGGTCATTCTCTGCTTATCCTGTTCCAGTCTGTTCCTCAGGAGCTGTGCCCTTCAGAACGGAAGGCCGCGCTCTCTCACTGTGAACCCACAGTACAGAGTATAACAAGGAGACTAAGACCTCCTTTGTCTTGACCCTTGACCTGCTCTTACTGCATTACCATTTTTTTTTTAGTCTTATCACTCAGTTTCTGTTATGAATTTTTTCCTATAAGTAGACATGGAACCCATTCTTTCCTGCCTTCCACAAGCACCATCTCTCCAACCAGAGCTGACCAAGAGCTAATCAGGTGTTTGCAGTATATATTCTGGGTTTCTTAAAAACAATTCTTCTAAAAAAAAAAAAAAGAACATTTTTTTCTCATTTTTAAAAAGAGTACTTTGTCATTGTAGAAAATTTGGGAAATACATAAAAGAATGGAGAAGAAAATCACTCACAATTGCATAATCCACAGGTAGCTAATGTTAGCATTTTGGTGAATTTTCTTCATGTGCAAGTATGCATGATATTCTTTTTTTTTTTAATTTTTAAAAAGATTTTATTTATTTATTTATTTATTTATTTATTTTTAGAGAGAGGGGAAGGGAGTGAGAAAGAGAGGGAGAAAAACATCAATGTGTGTGTGGTTGCCTCTTATGTGCTCCCTGCTAGAGACCTGGCCTGCAACCCAGGCATGTGCCCCGACTGCGAATTGAACAAGCAAAGCTTTTGTTCGCAGGTCGGCACTCAATCCACTGAGCCATGCCAGCTAGGGCTTTTTTCATAATTGAATTTATGTAGCATTGCACATTCTTATTATTTTCATTAACTTTAGTTCTTCTAAAATGTAGATTAGAATGGATGTATTATATGTCATCATATGATTGTAATATTAAAAGTTGTTTGTTTTTGAATACTAAGGTATATTCAATTTTTCACCAATTAAAATAATGATTCAAAATAATTTTTTGCCTGGCTGGTGTGGCTCAGTGGATGAGTGCAGGCCTGCAAACCAAAAGGTCACCAGTTCGATTCCCAGTCAGAGCACATGCCTGGGTTGCAGGCCAGGTCCCCAGTAGAGGGCATGCAAGAGAAACTCACTGGTGTTTCCCTTTCTTTCTCTTTCCCTTCTCCTCTTCTGAAAGTAAACAAACAAAATAATTTTTTGAATACAGGAATAATTCCCTGTGGTGAATACTTTGTATTTAAATTTTTGTCTGCTTCTGATTCTTAGGCCGAAGGAGTAGATTATTTTTCTTGGGTTTCAGTTGTTTATATTGTACATGGTGAATCCTCTGATGGACAAAACCCAATTCAGACACTATGTTGGTGTTAATCGGGAATGTGTTTGGTTGTCAGTAACAGAAAACTACTCTTAGAGTGACCAAAACAAATACGGCTCTGTTTTCTCCACGGTAAGCAAGGTGGAGGTAGGCAGCTACAGGCATTTGCTCAGTGGCCAGCATCTCTGATGTTTTTGGCCTTTCCTTCCAGCTCCAAACATCAACTGTACACTCAAGTAAGGAAGTCAGGAAGAGGCTGAGCAGTGCCAATCTTGATTTCCCACTGATCAGAAAAAGCGGAAGTCTTCTCAGCCCCCCAATATCCTTTGGCATGGATCTCATTGTCTAGAACTGGTCACACTGGCACCCATAGCTTCTGGAGAGTCTGAGAAACCAAGTGTCTCTCCTGGGACTGGGCACATTGCTGCCTCAAACAAAAGAAGGATGGTGCTGCAAGGAAAGGGAGGAAGAAATGAGACTAGATAGGCAACTGAAAGTCTGTGCCACAAGCTTGTTAGCATTCCTAGCTCGTAGGATGCATAGATATGCATTATACCTATCACCCCACTCTGTTCCCACACACTTTAGATTATGATGGGGCAGATTTATGCACTGCTTGCTCTTATAAATTTTTCATCAGTTTTGTATAACTTTAAAAAGCTATTATACCCAAAGAGCATTCATTTCCTGGATAGAGCCATTTAATTTAAGATAAATAAGTGGGTTACCTGAGTGCTCGCTTCTCCAATAACTTTGAGTTGTTCTAATGCAGCCATAAGCCTCGGGGAGAAAGCATAAATGAAGTGCTGCTTTAGCTAAAAATAAAGAGAAAACATTTTAATTTCTTCAAACTATTGCAAACTAATAAATACATGAAAGGAACCACCTGGCAAAATAAATTTGTCTCCTGGGTTATCAAACCATTCTCAGCATCGTGCTGTAGAAGAAAATCCAGGGTTTAGCTTTGAAATCTCAGTGGTGTGCTTGATGCAAAAAACATCTGAAATATGTTTTGTGATAGCTGGGAGATGTAGAAATGGTTTATGTTAAATAATACTTTGAACTTAAGACATTAAAGAACCAATCACTGGCTTTTTCCATTGTTGTTCAGTATAAAAGCCCAAAGGATTTTCGCTTCAAATGGAGGGTTCCTCTATCCTTTGTACAATTCCAGGGCCATTCAATCGCTTTTCCTCAAAAACATCTTTGATCAAAAACATCACATTAATCTAAAGCTCAAAGTTGGTATCAAGTAATTTTCACTTCTACTCAGGACACTCATATTCACACATCCCAGCTTTCCCACGGCAGGTGTGAGGAGCGGGCACTGAATATTGTGAAGAGAGCTACAAAGGGAAGAGATTAGAACCTTCAAGTGTGTGTGTGTGTGTGTGGTGGGGAGGGGGGCATATATGAATACCCACAGAATTTTTGTTAACTTTTACAAAGTGAAGTAATCTTTTACCCACACATGAATCTTAATACACTGCATGTTCCACTGCCTTCTTGCTCAATGCATTTCATTTTCATTTACAGGAAGGCAAGATCATGCCAGTTAAGTATGAAGAAAATTCTCTTATCTGGGTAGCTGGAAACCAGCCCGTGAAGGACAATAGCTTCTTGAGTTCTAAAGTCATAGAACTCTGTGGTGACCTTCCTATTTTCTGGCTTAAACCAACATATCCAAAAGGTAACGTTTAAATTCTCGTAATGCTGCTTGGGATTCTCTCTGTCCATGTGAGTTTCCTGGGAGCCCCTCCACAGGCCTGAGCCGTGACATGGAAGATCAATGAGGACACAGGATGCAGTGGCACAGTGTCTCAGCAACCAGCATGAGAGATCAGAGAGGAAGAGAATGATGGCCACCAAGGTTGCTGGGAAGGGACATTGTGTCAAGTTAACAGGGAGCAGACCAGGGAGTCAGAAACCACCAAAGTACCTGTGGTTTTTATCGATGATGCTCCCACTTCTTTCTGCTCTGCCCCTTCATCTCAGTTATTTGCATTTTCCAATTTTACTTTTTTTTTTTTTTATTCCTAAGGCATAGAATCAAGGGAGTAAGAAGCTATGATACCGCCAAATCTTTATTATGTTCAAACCTAGAATTATGGGACAGCCACAAGCTCCTGTGGCTGTGGGCATAGGTTGAAATTCTTTAAGTTCATGGCTTAAGTATCAGCCTTCAAGTTCTGTGAAAATAAATGAAAGGCCTCTGAGGTTCCGAGCGAGGTTGGAACACACCTTCTAGCTCTTTCCGGGTGGTGCAAGGCAGGTGACCCGGGCAAGCTGCCCTTCCCCATTTTTATTGATGGCGCTCCCGCTCCCACTCCCCAGGGCTGCCTTCACTCTTGGTTCCCACCGCAGTCACCCCTCTGGCCTCCCACGGGCCCACTGTAGCTCCGACTCAAGTGTGGAAAATAGGCCTTTTCCTTGCACAGCTCAGGCTATGTTTTCTGAAAGATTTTATTGAACACCAAGAGAGAACAGCATGGGAATTAAAAAAAAAAATACAGACATTAAAACCAAATGGGGATGAGGGGAGAGGTAATGGGAAGTTATTGTTAATGGGTAGAGTCTCAGTTTTGTGAGATGAAAAATATCCTGGAGATAGATGGTTGCCTAGTAATATGAATGTACTTTATGCCCCTGAACTGTACCCTCAAAATGGTTAAAATGGTAAATTTTATGTATATTTTATCACAATTTCTTTTAAAACCCTTGTCAGGCTTAGAAAGTCCAGACTTCTGATTCCGCCCTGGGTAACTTACCTACAGTTTGCAAGTTGTATTATGTCCCAGAGCTTGAATAAGATGGTTACTTTCCAGCCCAGGCATGACAAACAGGATTGAATTTATATGCCACTGGCAAGGGTTGCCTGGGAGAATGGGTCAAGAAGGGTCCTGAGGCCACATGCAGGCTCAGGGGGAAAGGACACCAGGAGCAGTGTCTGTCTCAGCTGCAGGGGGCGGGCAACGGGCTGCCAGATAGACAGTTGGCGGTTGCCATCCTGCTGCCCAGCAGGGGGTCGAAACGCACGATTCTCTGGCTACTTGCCAAGCTCTTGCTTTCAGTTCCCCACCTGCCTCCACACGGAATAGGCCTTCTTGCTTTCCACTACCCCGGAACTACTTCTCCAATACCTTGTCACCTTTTCCAATCAGGGACAAAAGTCTGCAACTCTGTTCCCATGAATAATAGCTCTCCCTAAGCACTTTCTGTTTGATGACAAGCCTCTCACCCAGAGAGTTCATTCATTCATTCACTCATTCATCCATTCATTCATTCAACATTTATTGACACATTTATTATGTGCCATTTACTTGTTCCAAGCACTTGGAATGCATTCGTGAACAAAATAGACAAGAATCCGAGCTCTCAGGTATTTTACATTGTCGCAATAGGAGACAGCAATAAACACAAAAATAAAATAAAATTAACTTGGCAAGATGCAACATGCTATGATAATATAACAGTAGGACGGGGTGGAGGGGGATTTGGGAAGACAAAGTGCTGTTGGTAGTGCCAGGATTAATGATAGCATGAGTACCTTGGGAAAGGGCTTGTTTCCTACATCCAAGATGTGTCATGGCCCCTCACAGCCCAACAGCATGATCACATTGTAAGTATTCAATCGTTACAACATCCATACAAGAATTATGCACACTATATCCAACAAAAGAGAAGTAGAAATCACCTAAATGCCCTCCAGATATGAAAAGAATTAAATCAATGTTGATATAGCCATACAATGGAATAGCAGACATTAAAAATAAGAGATTTTTATGTATTAACTCTGTACAGTGATAAATCGTTACTAGATTTATTGTGGAGATTACTTTGTATACAAGGTAAAGAGCAGACCCCAAAAAACCTAAATTATCTTCCGGAGGGTGGGCCCTTTGTAATACAGGTTTCTGTCACTAGGTGAGTGTTCCAAGAACCCATCTGTATCTGTGTATCAGCTGGGATTGTTGTAAGAAGCTGCGTTTGGTTTCAGTGAAATTTTTTTTTTAAGACTCTGTCAAACTGTTTGCCTGTTTCATGATGGGTGATTTACAAGCGCACCTCCCCACATTGGGCTGCTGAGTGTTCAGCAGTTTTTGACAAAAAATGGCATGACCCCCATACCCCACCCTACCCATTCACCCAATCTCGCCCTGAGCAACTTTCATTTTGTTTCCCCGGATAAAAAAAGTCCTCAAAGGGAGATGTTTTGCTGATGTGGGAGAAATAAAACAAAAAATGGCAGAAGCACTTCAAAGGCCTCAAAATTGGTGCATTTATAAACTGTTTTGAGCATGGGAAAAACATCTCAGTAGGTGTATTGCATCAATGGAGAGTACTTTAAAGGTGATTGAAGTTTAAACATGTAAGAATAAATACACAATTTTTTACAAATAAATTCTAGATTTTTTGAGTCCTCCCTCATATAAACGTTGAATCACTATGTTGTACACTGGAAGCTAATATAATACTTTCCATTATAATTTAAAATAAATTTTTGAAATGGATTTTTTCCAATCCCTCATGAATGTGGTCATATTTTAGAATAAATTTTAAAAAATAAAACCTCTTCTAAGGATGCTCAGCTCCCCACCACCTAATCCTAAACCCCCGACTCCAGGGGGCTGAGCCACCCTTACCCTAGGATCTTGAAATTTGCAGGTCATCAGCGTCACATGGTTGTATTATTAGAGACACTGTGAGTGGCAGCTAGACAAGGTCAGAGAGAAGGGCGAGAGCTGATGTCTGCTGAGCTCTGAGTCTGTGCCAGGCACTGTTCTAAAGCTTTACATTTTTCCATGTTTAATCTTTACCAACAACTGTCTGGGTAACTCCTAATATTCCCATTTTATGGATGAACAAACTAAGGTTCACAGAGATTAAATAACTTACCTGAGGTCATTAGTTAAAAGGAGTTGAGATTTGAATCCAGTTCTCCCTGATTCCTCTCCAACCATGCTTCAGAAACCAAGCAGCTGTCTGCAGCTATAAAGCATGTCTAAGTTCTTGTAAGTAACAAGTTCTCTCAAATAACCTAACATTTGGGAAGTACATTTTAGTGTACTTATGGGTCAAACACTATGCTAACACCCTTACACACAAATTGCTCATTAATTCTATCACTACTTTGGGAATTAAATAGTATTATCACCCCCATTTTACAGATGAAGAAGCTGAGGCTCAGACAGACACCAGAGTCCACGCTGTGTGGTATTTTCCATTATTACTCAGTAGTCGTAGGCCATGCGGTGGATGCCTCAGGCAGTGTGGTGAGCTAGAGCACTGGGTTGGAAGTTAGAGTTCACCTTCAGCTCCTGTATCTGCCGCCCATTCTGTGATCTTGGTCTTTCTGGAACCTGATGACCTTATTATAAAAGTATCTGCTTTTTCCTACCCCATAGGATTTTTAAAGAATCAGTCAAGATAGTAAATCCCCTGAAAATTGTAAAGTTGTATACATGTGTAGTCACTCCATTCAGGATGCAAGGGGCTCTAAGTAACAGAATATCTGATCAACAGTGGTTTCAGCAAATACGAATTGATTTTTTTATTTTTTTTCCCCAAACAGCTAGAAGTCTGGAGAGATGTTTCTGGCATTATCAGCTACTCAGTGATATCATCATCTCTCTTTCTAGCATACCATTTTTCTTCCCATAGCATGCTGGCTCATCACCCTTGTGCTATCACTTCTGGTCATTAAGTGTCATAAATTGGCTCTCATAATCCAGATATCACGCCAATGTTCAAGAAAGGAAGACAAGACATAGGAGGCCATATCTGTCCCCATTTACCAAAGAAGCAAAAGCTTTCCCAGAACTGCACTAGCATATTCTACTTATGTCTCACTGGCCAGAAATGTCTAATCTGCACACTCCTCATTATCACGGAGGCTAGGGAAATGAGTGATGTATTACTTTCTTAGCCCCTATAGTAGGGGCAGGTAAATAAAACAGGGTATTGCGGATGGATTTTTGTCAGCTATCTTACAATATTTGCGTCAGTGTTAGGAAATCAAATTCTGGCTACCTATAGTTTAACTACTAACCCAAGACTCTAAAACCTCCTTTATTATTACAAAAATCATCAGTGCAAATTTAAGTGGTATCTAGCTAAGTCTGTTTGGGTGCCCTTATGTTTTTCACCCTGATAAACATAGAACTTCCATAATTATTCAAGTAATTAACTTGCAGGGGTTTTGTTTTTTGCAGAAATCCAGAGAGAGAAAAGAGAATTGGCAACACAAATTTTTACAACTACTACAAGAAGACCACACAGCGGACCACGGGGCAACCCAGGCCCTGGAAGACCAAATAACAAAACCAGACCCGGTGTTCAACAGGATTCAGAAGCCTTCAACCCAGACAACCCTTACCACGTGCGTACTGGTTTTGTGTGACATGCTCAGACGAATTTGAAGTGGTGTGTGTCTAGTTGAGGCTTCAAACGAGCATTTAGAGTTCAACTGAGACATTTACTCAATATTTTAAAAATACATCTTTGTTTGTTGCAAGGTTTATAGATGTGGATAAGAACACTTAAGCATTGCCTCTGTAGTGTAAAATCCTGATTGGCTGTAACCCTTATTCAAAGTTGTTTTCTGTGCTTTCCTTTTCTTGAGTCACAGACAAATCTACAAAGACAAATTCATATCAAGAGTTTATTTTAAAATGTTTCCAAGAGTGTACTCGAGGGGCAACAGAAAGTATTCTTTCCCCCACCCTTTATATACACTTTATTCGTTCCTTCAACAGACATTTGTTGAGAACCTGCTTTCCTCCGCCCTGTGCACAGAGACAGACAGGAACTTCTGCCCTCAGGAACTCTCAGTCCAGTCAGGAGACAGAATCATACACAGATAAAACACTTTAGACTGAAACATTGAGAAATGGTGTTTGGAAGGACGGCAGTAACATGCTAAAATCTTCCACAAAATATTATTTGAATTACTACACTTTGCAGAAGTAGAAAAATAAGTATTTATTTGTAACTAGGGTTATAATAAAAAATACATGGCATATATTTTTTAAAAACAATATAAGGGCATACAATGAATAGTGAGTTTCCCTTCCATCTCAAACACCCTCCCCAGAGCAACCTATTATCAGCTACTTGCCCAGTTTTTTTGCATAATCTCTCTCTCTCACACACACACATACACACACACTCAATTTTAACACAAGAGCATATGAAACTCCTGTACCTTGCTTCCCAGTTATAATACGGCATTTTGAAGATTGTTCTATATCTCCTATATAGACCTATCTCATTCATTTTAATGTCCAAGTCATATTACATTCTGTGGATAGATGCATAGAAACTTAACTACATGTAAATTTCCCTGTCTTTTACTGTTTACAAATACAACCTTGTACACACATGCTTAGTATGGCTATGTGAAGGTATCAATGAGGTGAAGCTCTTAGCACAGTGCTTGGCCCATAGTACCCATCAATTGAGGGAATATATCTAATATAAACACTGACTTGTAGGTCTGCTGGGTCAAGGTGGATAGGAATTTTATAATTTAATAGAGAATACCAAATTGTCTTCCAAGGAATTATACCACCTACATGTCTTCAAATAGTAATAAAAGGACTCATTTACTTTCAAACTTTAAAAAAATCTTTTACCAGTTTTTTGGGGTATAAAAATTGTCTCTTGGTTGTTCTATCATGCCTGTCTTTAATTTACATGTATGGTCGAGAATCTTTACATACACAGGTAAGTCATTTGTGCATTTTTTTCCTTTGTAACCTTTTCAGGCCTATCCTGTTTCATGTGTTGAAAATATATTTTCTAGTTTATCATTTTAGACTAACATATTTTAGAAATATTTAGAGCACAAAGTATTTTTTAAATAATCCAAGGTTCATCAGAATATTTAGGACACCACAGTACTTCACTCCCTAAAACTCAAAGGATAAAAAAGGAAATAAAATCTGAATAGGTAAACAGAAAATTTAATGTAGCTTAACCCCCCAGTGGCTGGGTTAGTTGAATCTGGTTCAAGGGATAAGGGCCTCAGCCCCGTTGCAGGTAGGGAGGACGACTCTGTCTACCCGGCTTCCAAACTTGAGCGATCCATGTTCTCTTAAAAGCTCCAATTACACCCATTCTTCCCTTTATGTCATGTTCACCTTTAAGCAGAAACACCTCCCCATGATCTCAGTCCTTCACAATTCTTTAAAGAAGTGTTTTAGAGCAACCACCTAGTATTTCCTCCCATTTTTTTTTAATCCTAACAAGATTTGCTGAACCCTCAGATGAAGAAATGTCTCAATCAAGGCTTGACTCTCCCTGCCTCGAAGAGTCAGCTACGATTATTAATGAGGTGGTTTTTTGTCCTAGATAAACCTATTTCAAGAGATAGCAAAGAAAAAGGGAGTCTGAAAAAAACAAAAGAATGGTGTAAGACAGTAAATATTGTGATGACAAAAATTGAACGTTATGTTGTATCAGGTGGTATGAAGGAACTGTTAATTTGGTGTTATGGCAGTGTGGTTGTAGAGGAAAATACTCTTATTTTGGAAGTACATTTTAGTGTACTTATGGGTCAAATGTCACAGTACGTTCAATTTTAAAAATTCATTTCAGAATTTTATCAAGCAAATTTGATAGGTTAACAACTGTCAAATATAGGTCATGCTCACTATACAATTTTCTTCACTTCCAGTATGTTTGAAATTTTCCTAAAAAGCTCCATATCCCTCTGAAAGAAAAAAAACTGAGTGAACTTTTTTATACCAGAAAAGGTGACCAGGTTGCTAAGTTCACTTTGCTCAAGCCTGTGTTTGGTGCTGTACCTGCCTAAGTCCAGCTACCTCTGGGAAAGAGGCTTACATTGAATAAAGGATTTACTTAGCAATAAGGGATTCTGATGTTAATTCAATACCATATTAAAGAGGATACAGAAACTATACCCCTAGACATCTATAAATAGTTAAGCCACATAGGTAAATTTGACAGGGTTTTGGCAAGTTCCTTCCAGTTCTGTGATCTCTCCAATAGTAAAAACAGTTCTGTAGGTAATTTTTACTTCATTGATGATTTTGTGTTTATATAACTGTAAGGCGCCCAGAAACTAGAAGGTAGTTTAAGGCCTGGAATTTTTACACATTATACGGTGTCTTTTCCTGAGTGATACAGACCCCTTGTATTCAAGTAAGAGCAGAAGCTAAATGACTCAACAGTGTTTTCTGCCAGTGCAATTATGGTAGCAACCTGTTAGCCTGCATCAATGAGGATCAAAACATGCTCCCAGGAGACCTGAAGGCCATTACTACAGGAAGGCACCAGTGTTCCCACTGACTTAAAATTAGCAGGGGCTACTTTTGAATCATGATTCCTTTTTGTTTACCTATTTAAAACAAGATGAGTCACTACTGAGTGGTAACCACAGCTCATCTAAAGCATGGAGAAACTTCACCTTAACATTAAAAAAAAAAAACTTCCTGCCAGTGACAGATTAGTAGGTCTAAATTCCTTGATGTTCGAAGAAATTCTGAAGGTTATGATTGAAAACTCTTTACAGAAAATTATAGATTTCTTATAGTAGTGAAACATCCAGGACCTTATTTTAAAACAAATGTGTTACAACGTTCTCATTAAGAAAACACAAATAATTCTTTTATTTCACAGCAGCAGGAAGGGGAAGGCATGACATTCGACCCTAGACTGGATCATGAAGGAATCTGCTGTATAGAATGCAGGCGGAGCTACACCCATTGCCATAAGATCTGCGAACCCCTGGGGGGCTATAATCCATGGCCCTATAATTATCAAGGTTGCCGTTCAGCCTGCAGAGTTATCATGCCATGTAGCTGGTGGGTGGCCCGCATCTTGGGCATAGTGTGAAGTCACTCTGTATACCAGGTGCTGTAAAGGAAGAATTAACCCAAGAGACAACCAAAGAATAAAGCATCTTGACGCTGAAGGGACCACAAAGTGTATTATATGCAGTCTGCGTGACGTCCCTTCACACTTTTAAAATAACTTTCTCCATTGCTTTACAGAACTTTATCCATATGTGCAAATGTACTGAAAAGGTAGTCTAAAATGTCATACTTTCATTACTTGCTATTTTTTATTTGCTTTGTCCATAGGCCTGCTTATAAGACCTCCTTCCCAAGCTATTTTGAAATAAACATGAAAAATTTACAATTTTTCAAAGATTGCATGTACACTGGAGTTTCCTTTAATCATCACTAATTTAAGTTGTTCTGTTACTTGTACAGAATTCCTCAGTTGTTCTTAACCTTTATTGTTCTTCCCAGTCTTCCAAATGTGCTCCCAGAGTTCCCAGATAAAAACACAAAAAGTAAAAACAGGACACTTGAGGGAATTTACATGAAAGTAAACATTATAAACCTCAATGTGGGAGCTCATGGGAAATTCTTGATCTATAGTATGTGGCTGGCATTTTACTAACAGGTGGCTGCCCTATATTAACAGTCACCTCCAGGAAAAGAGCATTAGGATAAAGAGGGAAAACAGTCAAAGATAAGTCAGACTTGTGGGAAGAGGACTTTCATTGACATTCTGGAAAGCAGGTCTTCACATTCTTTTTAATGTTTTCAGTAAGTGTTCATTGGGCATGAAGAAGTGTAATGATTTCTACCTCTGCAGTACAAATCAAGCTGTTGATGTAGTCCAATTACCAGTTAGTTCCTCTCCTAGTAATAGGGCTGACAACAAGTGTTGCATGGCAGATATGGCTGAGCTAGAATGGCTTATTTATAACGACGAAGTCTCTCAGGAACGTTGACAAGAACACGGACTATCTTTTGAAATTGAAATATTCATCTTCTAAAACTGAAATAGTCAATCAGGAAGATGCGCAGGTATTTCATATTTTTGACACATTAGTTCTGAACCCCGCAATTTGAGAAAGAGCTTTCTTAAGTTTTCCAAAACAAGGATTTGGAGATGAAAGAAAGGTCTTGATATCAAGATCTCACTACTATCTCATATTCTAAATACACCTTATTAGTGTACATTTAGTGTTTCCCAGTTCGTCTGTGAAATCGTACAAAATTTTAAATCTCTCATCAGATCAATGCTTATATGCCCGCATTTAATGGAATACACAACCAAGCCGGTTCTCTGGAGAGAAAAGGTAAAAGGAAATACATACATTGTACTACAGGTGATGGTTAGTGTTCTCAGGCAGCAGCTACTTCCTGCAGAGTTACGAATTTTACATGTTTAATCTTTGAAATAGTCTTTCTACTAAGCAAATCCATGCCTATGGTTCCACATACGATCTCCCATCCCTGCAACCTGGACTTAATTCTAGAACTGAGAAAGGGGAAATATGTCTCACTGATCTCAGCCCGGAAGAGCCTGTGTGGTCTCTTGAGATAAGATAATCAGGATTCCGCTCACCAAAGGCCTGAACAAAGATGGGACCATTTGGCTCTGGCTGGCTGGCTCAGTTGGTTGGAATGCCAAACCGGATCAGGGCACATACCTAGGTTGCAGGTTCGATCCTCAATTGTAATGTGTACAGGAGATAACTGGTAGATGTTCCCTCTAAATATAAATATATGGGGCATCCTCTTGGAGGAAAATGCCTTCCCTAGACCTTCAAAGACGAGCATGAGGTAGCCATGTGAGGGTGACAGAGGAAGGGCATTCCAGGCAGAGCTGTTCTAGTACAGCCAGAGATTTTTAAAGTTAACTGGTTTATTGAGGGGCAAGGAGAAAGTTGCGGGGATACAAGCAGGCAAAACGGAGCATTCGGGTTGAGGTAGGAACTATTAAAATGCAAATGTAGGCAAAAATTTTATCTTATATTGCACGTTAACTTGAATTCACACATTTATTTGGTAGATAAGAAATAGGGAACCAATCAAAGGTTTCAGGGAAGGAAGGGGCAAGGAGAGGACTGGTTAGGTTTCCATTTTAAGGCTGGTAGCTTTCTGTGTGAAAGCAGGTGCCAGACTTGGGCAAGCGTGTCATTAGGGATGAAGGCTGCCTCTGGAAAAGGTGCTCCCTTTTCAAAGCACCACAATTAAATGATAATTTACTTCATACTAGATAATGCAATTATGTTGTGTTCTGGAAAGCACTAAGTACCCACGGATGTCAACCTAGGGAAAAAAAATACCAACGTTTTAAGGGAGGGGGGGAAAACTCAAGTTTGGTTTAAAAGTAGGAATGATACAAGACTCAAATTGTGTTCAAGGTAGAAAACCAAAGGCCTACTCTGAAAGAGAAGTCAGGTGTACAAAGAGAGAGAGAGGACACTGCAGAACACAAACGCTGCACAAATTGGTACTAATCTGCAGACTGTTTCACCAGGCCAGTCCAAAAGCTGGTGGGTGGGTGGGTGTGTGTTTTTTACAGATTGATTTAACTGTTAGTGGTGTTGCAAACCAATCTTAATGGACACGCCAGGTTGATTTTCAAAGGTTTAGGTCTCACTCAAACTGGAAGGGCTACTGTAGTCTTACATGTGATATTTGCTGTTGTGTAAGCACACAGAAAATGAAGAAATAGTATTGCTGGGTTCTGATATGTATAAATAATGTTCTATGTTACATTAATCTCTCTCATTGAAATACGTCAACAAACTTTCATTGCAGTTTTAAAAACTTGTTAACTTAATCCTCATACCTCCTCCTTCCTCCACCACCTCAAATAGCTGTTGATATTAGAAAAATAAATGCATTAAGAATAATCACTTAACCCACTCAACAGTTTACTTCTTACACTAAATTTTATTACACTCTGAAATACAAGCTACATTTTTACAAAATAGAAATTCCTTGTATAAGTGGAATATTTTCCTGTATAAGTTGAATATGCTGATGTTTTATGCATATTTATTTTATAGAAATGGTCACAATATATTTTAAAGTTAACTGATTTATTGAGGAAGGAGAAAATTGACAAAAATCTACATGCATAGATAGTCCTAGCAGTATATCTCAAACATAGAGGTATAAATCTGAGTAAATGATGCAAAATTCAGCAAAGATGTTTTATAAGTAGAGTGGGTTTTGGTGTTTATAAAAGAAAGGTGAACTCCTTTTAAAGGACTTTTGTACATATATGCATGCTCATATTCACTTGGAAAAAGCCTAATATTAAGAATCAAATTTACAAAACAGATAGTGTTGACTGACTTTTAACAATAAAAGAACTCACCACAGATTTTATTTAAACTTTTTACATTCAAAAGTAATCAACTTTCAATTTACATGTGGTTTTTAGGTACTTACTGTGTAAAGGTCACTAAGTATATCTGTATAAACGTTTATGCAAAACCTAGCAAATAGCTGGTGTTAGTTTCTAAGTTTGGCTTACTAAACATTTCCCACATCTTAACAGCTTTTAAATCAAATATATAGAAGTAAGTCTTTATTAGGGTATGAGTGATAAAAACAGATAATGGGAACTGAAAGAGTATACTAAGCTATAACTAAGTCCCTAGGTTTAAACACCAAATTACTTTAAAAAATCTGTTTCAAGAGGCATATCCCACTAAGTTCTTTTGATGAGTTTAGTAATAACTTTAGAGATGTTATATGTCATATTCCTGTTCTTTTTGTGCTTGCTCCAGTAAAAAAATTCTCTTCATATACAATTCCTGTGATTGAAGCAGAACCCCCAAAATGTAACCTTTCTGTCATCTCTAATACAGTTACAAATATTTTAATAGCAACTAGAGAACTTGGAAGAAATAATACATACATACTTTTTAAAAACTAGTATTACATTTACAAATTTACTTGCAATTATTTTGAAAACAAACATGATTTCTGTGTCTGCCTGTCCTTCTGCCTTCCAAGGTGTGAAATGCCAAAAATCTTTCAAAAAACAAAAGAAGTTATTTTCACCTACCTATATTCCATTATTCTAGACTTATTATCTACCTTTTTATAATGAATTTGCTTTTTACTGACATAGTCAAAGGCCTGGAATAAGTGAAGCATAAATTTTAACATTCTCTTAGCAACATATAATACTTTCAAAGGCAAGTGGTTTCTTTTCAATTAAAACCATATTCCTACTTAATGAGGTAACTATACAACTATGCAATAAAAAAAAGATCTCCATGGGATATATCCTAACACAATTTACTCAATCTACTCAACCAGCACCATAATTTTTAATATTCATTTAGCACCTATGTGTAATTAGACAAGCAACCTCTGAGAGTATTCCAGTTGCTAAAAAAAAAACAGTGCCTCTTTTCAGTAGTAAGCCATTGCTCTCCATGAGTACTTAATTTTAGTACTCTGCTCAATTTTAGTAGTATCTCAGCAGTGATAAACTAGCATCTTGTCCAAACAGTCTCAATTTGTTTCTCTTGACTGAAACAGATTTTCTTTCATCATGTGCAGTACCAGTTACACAGACTCAATCCTTTGTCATAATGACCCTTAGGTTCCAATGACCGAAGAACAAAAATAATCATGAGCATCTCTCTTCTGCCTTTACATCTATGCAAGAGGCAAACAAATTCTTCAAAGGAACAAGTGCCCAAGTAGATTTTCACTCTTTTCTAAAATTTATCGGAAATAAGGCATTAGAGATGATTAATGGTAACTTCTTATTTTCTCCTTTACTCCTTGAAATCTGTGGTTTTTAAGGGCAATGCTCCAGGTCATTACCTACTTCGATATCACCAGCCATTAAAAACAGAGATGTACTGGGCCCTATCCCAAACCTACTGATTCAGAATCTCAGGAGGGAAGCTAAGAAAGCCTGCATTTAAAACTTCCCAGGTGAAGATTACTCACCATAAAGTTTGAGAACTACTATCATAAATTGTACAGAAGCTTATCTGCCCATACCTTAAATTTTAGTTGCCTGATATTTGGGGTAACTGTCTGAAAGTTGGTACAAGATTTGGGTAATTTAAGTTTTAGGTGAGATTATGATTTTATCACCAACTATCTAGTTTTGTTAAATAATTTTTTATGAAGAAAAGACATATGCGAGAGTCCTCTGGGGGGAAAAAATGCACCTGTGAAACCAAAGGTTGGACACAATAGTATTTAAGATTTATTCAGCTCTGAAATTCTGAATTTTTGTTTAAGGCAGTAATAGGCACCAAAGCTACTTTTAGTCTTGGCAGATGGCCCATTAAAACATGCCCTGCTGATCTGATTTTT